TGCTCTTCTAGCAATAATTTGTGCCTTCATTTATTTATTAATGGTCGGTCTCCTTCTAGAGAACATGCCATCAAAAGTATTAGGTTTTTCACCATTAATAAGAAGACTATGTTACTTGCGTTCACATTTTCACACTATTATACCCAATAATAACAGTGTGTGCTCGATGATTTAAATCATATTCTAACAATCTTTGTTTATTGTAATGGGCAAAGAAAGATGATTTAGAATTTGAATCTTTATTGGGGCATTTGCATGAACAGAGGTCACCTTATATGCCATCAAAAATGGTGAAAATATCATGTTGTCGGTCTTACATATTATGATTATGTCATTTTCGTACCAATGAAATCCTTCAATACATTATATGTTTACTTTCAGTAAACAAAAATCTAATCTCTTATGAAGCATTGACATTTCAAAAAAGACGATGTGTCGTGTTCAACATTTCTCGACATGCACTCCCCGACACTTTGACATTCCCTACATTCCAACACGCATTGTAGAGACTAAAAAAAGGTTCAAAGGTTGCGTTGCGTTGCGTTTTTAGTTACAATTATTAGATTCGTTAAATTAAGATTATCATTTTATTGAGTTTAATATAATATTTGGCATTAAGAATAACTAGTTTATAATATAAAAAAAAATATTTCTATAGCCACGTTAGGTAAGATTATCTACTGTTACCCTTTATAACTATGTACTACCGGTAGTACATAGTTATAATATTAAAGCTACTTTTTTTTTCTCTCTCCTCAGTCACTTTTCAGAACCTGTCTGCTTACGTGGAGAAAAAAAAAACTATAATATTATAACTATGCACTGCCGGTAATACATAATTATAAAAGGTAGATGTGAATAACCTTATTTAAAATGGCTGTAAAAATTCTTACCCCTTATAATATAGTTCAATTCTTTGTTTAAACTTTAATGCCAGATTCTAAAGATGAAAGCTAAAATTAATATTTTAAATTTGATTATTTATTATCATTGTCACTTATGTACTGTTGGACAAGCTAGAGGAAACTATCATTCTAAGCTAAACCCATAATAATTTAATTTGACACAAAATCATTGGGTTTCACTTTTACAAGGTAATAGAGCTCAAAGTAGAGAAAATTATGATTCAGAATCAAAGAGTTAAGCATTAATTTCACAATAAATGAATTCGATACCACATTTTAACCCAAAACGTTAAGTTTATAGGTCCTCACACTTTTTTTTATACATATAGATTCTCACACTTATATATCCATTGCTTAGCTCATTCCTTCTCAAGGTGAGATTTTATCACTCATACCTAAATTTCTAATACATCCTTCGATTATTGTCAATCACTAATAATATCCTCCAATAGAATTCCAAATCAATTTAGCATTGTAATTCTATCACAATTATTTATTTGTCTCAATATAAAAATTATGACTCTTGATCAATTCTAATTCCTCAGAATTTTCGATGACCAATTTGAGTGTTAAGTCTTAATTTACTGATCTGCCAAATACTTTTTTCAATCAAAAAGTTAATAAATTTTATATCTAATAAGAGAAAGCCTTCATTGCCATTAGAAACAGGACAAAGAGAGATGACAATTTTAAGAAGATTTGTGTGAATTCAGTGTGGTTGCTGAGGTTGTGCATGGTTGGGAATTCAAGGAAATTTTATCCACACATTAGAATTTCAATTGGTCAATGAGAATTATATTAACTACTAAGATGGAAACATATCAACTTGACAGTCTTGAGTTCCATTTTTTTATATATATAAATTCTTTAATGGTATGTCATTTATAAGCATCATTTTAAGTTAATATTAATGCTTATAGCATGCCTTGAGCTAGAATTAGACAGCCCTCTAAGTTTTATTGTAAACCAAAAAAAAAAAAAAGACAAACTCCAATTACAGTTGTGATCAAAGATTCAAGAATTTAATTTTGATTTCCCTATGTATGATTATTTTAAAGTCAGAAAATAATAGTATATCAACTTTTGATTAAATTTTTTTATATATAAACCATTCGGTATCCGAGGGTTGGATAATCCATATTCAAGTTAGCGGGATGATAAAAGCAATAAAGTTCTCTCTAAGTTTTTAATATGTATACTTATTTAAGGCATGGACTGAAGATAAATAGTCAAATTGAAACAATTCCTTCTCAGTTGATCCAGGTGCTCCTGCTTCATGATAACTTTTGATTATGTTTTTTAGTGTATTATGATCCTAATTGATTAAAATTCAAAAAGGTATACCCTTATGTACTTACTCTAAAGATAAAATACTTAAACCAGAATAGAGGGAGTAATCAAGTGGAAGAAAGACTTAAAATACATAAAAGCAAAATGGTAGTGCAGGCAAAAAAAAATTAAGAAAAGAAAATGAATGAAGTAAAGCAAAATAAAACTACAAGTAAGAAAAAAAAAATTGTAAAGAATTAATTCAACCAAAAAAATTAAATTTGTAAGTAATGAGCCTTCAATGAATTTATATTATATCTCTTTAACATATCATCTCACGTAAAAGACCTTTGGGTTTGAAACGTGGATATTGCACTAGAAAGTGGAGGACGGTGAGGATCGAACTCGTGACCTTACGTAAAGAACTAATTCAACTCAATAGCTTAAGCTTACAAGTGATAAACCTTCAATGAGTTTATATATATATATATCTCTTTAACACAATTCTTAGCAATAAAATGTAGATGCATGAATCCATGACCAGGAAATAAAATATCCTAGTTGAAACTTCGCTCTAATTGACTTGACAGAAATAGTTATCCAACTTATCAAGGAGAATAAAACAGAGAGACAGAGAAAGAGCTAGACAAACAGTATCAATTATTATGTTTATGTTTTTTTCTCAAACAATGAGGCATAGATGCTACAACCTACAAGTTATTAACCGTGGGTGATTGTTTCCTACATAGAGCAAGGGATCGGTATTCCAATTCCAGGACCACATGGAACCCACTGATGATCAATATAATTTCAACAATAAGATTACGATTGCATACTTTCTAATCAAGCGAAGTGACAAAATTAATATGCCCATCTTAGAGGGAAAGGGGGAGAGATGCTACTCTATCACAGTATCACTTTATAAAGAAAAGATTTGTTATTGGACCCAAAATACAACTTGCAATGAGAAAAGGATAGAATCATAAGAGTACAAGTGCCATAGTAAATTATTGCAACCCAAATTTAACAAAAAAACAAAGGTATTGAGAAGAGTAAGACTAAAATTTGTCCAATAGCTTTGTACTATAGATTCTAAATAACAACAGCAGGAGCAGCATTGCAGTGGTGGTTGTGCAGCATTGCATCAGATATGTATGTAGTAGTCTTTCATTGTTTCGATTAGTTCTTCTTGCCCTTCTTCCAATGGCTTGGCCTACAAAAGAGGGCCCAAGAAGAGGTCCCTAGTTCCTATATGGCCAATGAATGGCTAGAGCTCTGTCCCAACCAAGCACAAATGAATGAAGACTTCACGTGTCACATGTACCAACAAATACCCCACCAATGTCTTCTCCCCCTCTTGAATGTATTAATACAAGCCCGCAAGTCATTCTCAACTGTTAGTAATTCAAGGGTAAGTAATAAAAGTCCCAAATTGAAAAGGAAATGGCTAAGCATAACATATATAAGTGAAAGGACTCATAAACCCAATGCCTTAAGGTTTTAGGTTGAGATGTGGTGTCGAACCTTGTTTAGGGTTTGTTGTTTAGGTCCATTTAATGTGTGGATGGTAATCTCTTTGATTGGGCTCCTCCTGACCGCTGTCCAACTCTGGTATCAGAGGCAATGGTTGCTTGGCCTGGGTATTCCGAGTATTTGGAGATGGTGGTTGTTGTTCAGGTTTGTATGCAATGGAAAGCACATGCTGTGGATCGAGAGACTGGCACACTCTTGGTTGTTAACCCCATCAATACTCGAAGAATCTTCCGCTTGAGGGGAAGTTGACAATTGTAGGATTCACACTTGAGGGGGAGATTATTTGGAATTCAAGTGTGAGTGATAAAAATCCCACATTGGAAAGGAATGAGCTAAGCATAGCCCATATAACTGAAAGGATCAATAAACACAATGTCTTAAGGTCCCCCGCCATAGGCTCCCCCTGGCCTACTCAACAGTGGTATTAGATCCAATGGTTGATTGGCGGTGTACCGAGTATTTAGAGATGGTTGTTTCTCACTCTTGGTTGGTAACCCCACCAATACTCGAAGAAGCTTCCGCTTGAGGGGTCAATTGTAGAACTCACATTTGAGGGAGATTGTTGAGAACCACATTGGAAATGAATAGGATGAGCATAAAACATACAAGTGAAAGTACCCATAAATTCAATGTCTTAAAGTTTTGAGTTGAGATGTGATGTGGAACCTTGTTTTGGATTTGTTGCGTAGGTCCATTTGATGTGTTGATGGTAATCTCCCCGAATTGGGCTCCACCTAGCCCAACATCAACATGGATTCAACACCACCGCCTCAACATATGAGAGGTAGACAGGAGCATGGGCGTACCTGCCCTCAGAGGCAGAGAGAAATATATGCAGTGGCAAAAGCAAGGACTTCTTTTTTTTCTTTTTTCTAAATTGGGAAAATATAAAGTATGCTTAAATTGGTTAATAAGCAAAAAATTGAAATATGTCTGTCCTTGTTGGAAAGATGGGACTGTGGTAGCAACTGTTAAAAAAAGTTAGAAGATTTTGTGAGATCTCTCTTTGTTGTCACTTTTCCTCATCAACTTGGCGTTAGTATGATGGCTTCGGTTTCCCTTTTAAACAAACTTAGCTCAAAAGGGAGAACCAAAAAGAATCCTCCCAAATAAGCATTTTTCATACGGATTCTCATAACTGAAAGGTTGACTCAGCCACCTACAAAACTTCTTTAAATTCTGGCCCAACCCTCTACTCCTTCTCCACTCCATCACTTCTCCTTTTGTTTGTGCTCACAAACAAACGAAGCCTACATCATGATCAAGCTTCTTCAGCCTTTAACTACCAACATATCTTCTAACAGAAAAATGAGATACCCATCATTTAGCCTCGTTAGAGAAAACAACATTCTGTTCATCAGAGGCTTCATGATTTTGTTCCTCAGCTGTATAACCATGCGACTTAACTTCTGTATTTCCACTATCCCTTCTTCATTAAAAGCACTTCCCTTGGAAGGACACTTCAGTTTTGATGAAGTTGACATCAAACATGCAGCCAGAGACTTTGGCAACAGGTACCAATCTAACCCCATGGCAGTATTGCATCCAAAATCAGTTTCTGATATTGCAGTCACCATAAAGCATATCTGGAACTTGGGTCCTAGTTCTCAGCTCACTGTTGCAGCTAGAGGCCATGGTCACTCACTCCAAGGCCAGGCACAAGCTCATGGAGGAGTTGTGATCAACATGGAATCACTCAATGTCTCAGAAATACAGGTGCACACAGGAGAATTTCCTTATGTTGATGTCTCAGGAGGAGAATTGTGGATAAACATCCTGCATGAGACACTTAGGTATGGGTTAGCACCAAGATCATGGACGGATTACTTACATCTCACAGTTGGTGGAACTTTATCCAACGCTGGTGTCAGTGGCCAGGCATTTCGACATGGTCCCCAGATAAGTAATGTTCAGCAGCTGGAGATTGTTACAGGTTGGTAACTTGGGGATTTTTCTAAAGATCAACACAGAATATATTAAGTATAACCAATCAAAAATTCAAAAAAAACATTACCATAACAATATATAGCAAAGGGCTTGTTGAAGTTATTCTAATGTTATCTCAAGTTTTTAAATAATTGTTCCTAATAGACACGTGCTTGTAGAAAAATTGCTTGGTAATAACTTGGTGAGAAAACAATATTGTGAAAAACATAGTGCAGATGAGAACAAGGTCAAGGGTTTGACAAGGGGTGGATATCATGTTATGAATACAGAAGCTAACTATTTTGTCTCTTCTGAACTAATAAAACACTTGAAACTGACATAATAACGTCATTTTTGTGACTTGACCATGGGCACGTAAGCAATTCTCAAATAATTGGTTGTAAAGAAATGTTTTCTCTTGGATGAATGAAAAAGATGGTCAATGAATGACTGCAGGGACTGGGGATGTGGTAAACTGTTCTGAGGAGCAGAATGATGAACTCTTTCACAGCGTACTTGGGGGACTAGGTCAGTTTGGCATTATAACAAGAGCAAGAATCTTGCTGGCACCAGCACCTACCATGGTAATGAATGCATCATGGACTATACCAGAAATAAGGTCCTTTAATTTTAATTAGTTGTTTGCAAGTACCTGATGCCAATAATCTCATAATATTTCTATTTTGAACAGGTAAAATGGATTAGAGTGCTATATGCAGATTTCACAGCATTCACAAGAGACCAAGAGCAATTAGTATTTGCTGAAAAAGCTTTTGATTACATTGAAGGATTTGTGATAATAAACAGAACAGGTCTGCTAAATAACTGGAGATCATCCTTCAACCCAAAAGACCCAGTTCAAGCTAGTAATTTCAAGTCAGATGGAAGAACTCTCTTCTGCCTAGAATTGGCCAAATACTTCAATCTGGAAGAAACCCTTGTAGTAAGCCAGGTGAGGGAGCAACAGCTCAACCTAAAGATTGATTTTTGCATACAAAAATAAATCGCTAATCTTTTATTAAATACAAAAATAAAGAAAATCAATTCAACTCTCTCTCTCTCACTCACTGTGTTTCTTTTTTTATGCAGGAAGTTGAGAAACATATGTCCCACTTGAACTATATCCCATCAACACTTTTTCAAACAGAAGTCACATATGTAGATTTCTTAGACAGGGTGCATATCTCAGAGGTCAAGTTGCGTTCAAAAGGCTTGTGGGATGTTCCACACCCATGGCTCAATCTTTTTATACCAAAAAGCAAAATACACAATTTTGCACAAGTTGTCTTTGGGGATATCGTAACAGAAACAAGCAATGGCCCCGTCCTTATCTACCCAGTAAATAAATCAAAGTAATGATTCACATAACTTGTTTATCTCTTCCAATCTTTAAGACTTATAATTTAAAATATAATAATGTTCTTTGCAGGTGGGACAACAAAACTTCAGTTGTTATGCCAGAGGAAGATATTTTCTACTTAGTGGCATTTCTTGCCTCTGCAGTCCCCTCTTCCAATGGACATGATGGCCTTGAACACATTTTGAGTCAGAACAAAAGAATTTTAGAGTACTGTGAAAAAGCCAATCTTGGAATAAAGCAATATTTGCCCCACTACACTACACAGGAAGAATGGAGGGCGCACTTTGGTCCTCAATGGGAGGTCTTCCTGCAAAGAAAATCTGTTTATGACCCATTAGCAATACTTGCTCCTGGCCAACGAATATTCCAAAACTCAATAACCTTCTCATGAAGCCATCAACATTTTATTAAGCTGAAAAAGAAAAGGCCCTTATGGCATATTCAAATATTGCCTTACATGCTGTGTGTGTAGCACCAAGGCTGCAGAGTCGGGCTAAGATTTGGTCAACAGAAAAAAAACAAACGTTTCAGACATGAATTATTATAGGGCTCCCAAGAACATACAGATGTTATGAGTGCTAGAACGAATGTGTATATCAATTTTGTAAACAGTCCCTTATTGTATTCTCTAATGTAGCCTATTTAAAAGAAGAAAAAGAAGTTATATGTAAGTATGAGGAGCGATATTCTTACTACCAAAATTTTTCACTACCAACTTATTACCTATCTAATCACCATTTGATCAATATTTTCTCTCTCTTCAAAAACTTTTTAACATTCTCTTTCTTTGATCCAATGATGATTAAATTGGTAGTAAGTTAGTAGTGGAAAATATTGGTTGTAAGAATATCCTCCCTCGTTAAATAAATATTAAGACATTTAATTAAACAAAAAGCGCAGGAAAAGGAGTTGCAGCTGTGAGGAGATCATGTGTTATAAATTTAATTAAATTATCCATTGAGATTATAGTGGCCAAAATCACTTATCATAGTGGCCAAAATCGTAGTCAGATTGATTTCTTTCTGGCTAGAAGAGAAGATAGAACTTCTTGTGTCGACTGTCAAGTCTACCCTGGAGAGTGTGTCGCTACGCAACATAAGCTGGTAGTCTTGGATGTTCGGTTCAACAAAGTACTTACAATGAAGAAGAGGGCTCAGAACCCAAGGATAAGGTGGTGGAAGCTTAAGGAGGGAAAAGAGAGAGAGTTCAATGAAAGAATGTTGGAGGAAGGACCTTGGGAGTTTGATGGAGGAGTAAATGCAATATGGAATGAGATGGCTAAGTGTATTCAAAATTTGGGAAGGAGGGTGTTGGGAGAAAGCAAAGGAAATGGATTACATACAAAGGAAACATGGTAGTGGAATGGAGAGGTGAAAGAGGCAATTAAACATAAGAAGGAGTGCTTTAGATCTGTGCATAAAAGTCCCAGAAAACTTGCAAAAGTTTAGATTGGCGAGAAAAAATGCAAAGAAAGCTGTGCAAGAAGCTAGAGGTAAGGTTTTCGACGAGTTGTATAAAAATCTTGGGAGCAAGGATGGTGAAAGAGGTATTTATAAACTTGCAAAGATAAGGGATAAGAAAAGTAAAGACCTCACCCAAGTTAGATGCATCAAGGATGAAAATCAAAAACTTCTGGTGAGAGATGAAGATGTAAATGAAAGATGGTTGAACTACTTCAACAAGCTGTTTAATGGGGATGGAGATACAAGCGAGGTGGACTTGGAGGACGCGTATGATGATATGAATAGAAGATTTGTTCGCAGAATTAATACACATGAAGTTAAGGAGGCTTTAAAGAGGATGAAGACTAATACAGCCTTGGGGCCTGATGGTGTCCCTATTGAAGTGTGGAGAGGCCTAGGGGAGTTGGCAATAAAATGGTTGACCAATCTTTTCAATAAGATTCTCCAGACAAATAAGATGCCTGATGCATGGAGGAAAAGTATGATTGTGCCTATCTACAAAAACAAGGGAGATATACAGAATTGTTCAAACTATAGAGGCATTAAGCTAATGAGCCATACTATGAAGTTGTGGGAGAGGATTATTGAACATCGCTTGAGGAGAGATACCAAGGTTTCTGTAAATCAATTTGGATTTATGCCAGGATGATGTACCATGGAAGCCATTTTCTTGATGCGACAACTAATGGAAAGATACCAAGAAAAGAAGAAGGACTTGCATATGGTGTTCATAGACCTTGAGAAAGCATACGATAGGGTTCCAAGGAATGTTTTATGGTGGGTTTTGGAGAAGAAAAAGGTTCCATCAAAGTATGTAAAGGCAATCAAGGATATGTATGATGGAGCTACTACATGTGTAAAAGCTTGTAACGGAACATCAAGTTATTTTCCTATTGCGGTAGGTATACACCAAGGGTCGGTTCTAAGTCCTTATCTCTTTGCCTTAGTTATGGATGAACTAACAAAAGATATTCAAGAGGAAGTGCCATGGTGTATGCTTTTTGCAGACGATATTGTGCTTATTGATGAGAGCAAGGAGGGTGTTAATAGAAAACTTGAATTGTGGAGAAGTACATTGGAATCCAAAGGATTCACATTAAGTCGAAGCAAGACTGAGTATCTGAAGTGTGAGTTTTCTCTGGTACAAGATGGGGACCAAGAGCCCGTGCATTTAAGTGGTCAAGAGGTACCTAAAAAAGATGTTTTTAAATACTTGGGCTCCATATTACAAAAAGGTGGAGAGATTGATGAGGATGTAAATCACAGAATCAGAGCAGGGTGGATGAAATGGCGCAGTGCATCTGGGTTTTTGTGTGACCGCAAAATCCCTCTTAAGTTAAAAGGAAAATTCTACAAAACGGCAGTAAGACCGGCAATGCTATATGGCGCGGAATGCTGGCCAGCACATAGGCAACATGAGCATAAGATGGGAGTCGCAGAGATGAGGATGTTAAGGTGGATGTGTGGTTACACAATGATGGATAAGATAAGAAATGAAGATATTCGACGAAAGGTCGGAGTAGTACCAGTAGACGAGAAGATGGGAGAACATAGATTGAGGTGGTTTGGACACGTGATGAGAAGGCCCCTGGATGCTCCTGTAAAAACAGAAGTTTGTTACCAAGAGCTGAACACAAAAAGAGGCAGACGTAGGCTGAGACTTACTTGGGGGAAGGTGGTAAAACAAGATTTAATGGAGTGGGATATAGATTGGCGGACGGTTTGTCTTAGAACGGAATGGAGAAAAGCTATAAATATGGTGGAGGGTTAGACCCGTTGTTATTCCTATGTTCCAGATGGTCCTTTTTTAGTCTTTTTCCCCTTCATCTCCCCCACTTCTTCTTGTCCCCTTCTTTTTTACTTTTATTTTATTTATATATACATATCTATATACATATATATTTTATTTTATTTTATTTTTATTTTTATTTTTATTTTTATTTTATTTTTTCAACTGTTTTGTATCTATCATGTGGGTTCATCTACCACCGACCCCAATTAATTTGGGATAAAGATGATGTTGATGTTGATGTTGATCCATTGAGATTATAGCATATTATAAATAAAGGATTTATTCTTAGTTACAATTATTACAATAATTGTAGAATTATGTACAGACATAAATAAATTTCACACCACAAATACTACAATATGCATTGTAGCAGCCGCAATGTAGGAACGGCAGAAATCGCAACAGTAATTTAGAACCATGATAAATAATTTAGGAAAAGATACAGATAAGATTACTCTTGCAAAATGCTTGAAAAGTGATATCAAAATGGATATGTATTAGATGGAAGATAGTGTATGCCAATCTACAATATTCCATAACCTATTGTTTGAAATTCTAGAGCTGGCAAAATTGCATAGAGACAGTACAGAGAAGGGAAAGATAGAGGAGAGAATGAGTGGAAGAAAGAAATTGCTAAATTGTTTTCCTATTGCATATAGCCATTGCAACTTCTGTAGCAGAAAATTACAAGAATTTGAAATACTAACATCATACCAATCTATAGATACCGATATTTTATTGATAGGGGCTAAATGATACTAACTAGAGAGTAATTGATATCAATCTAATCTTTTATTAGCGAAAGTTAGTAAATGCTATTTGATACTACACCACACGAATACCACGGTGCCTAAAACAATCTAAAAAAATCGATAATAAAAATGCCTGCCTCACATATCACTAAGTTTGCCGTACCAAAAAAAATAAAAAATTGTCGCATGAACCTAACTCAATTTGTTGGAACATTTACTTGCAAATTTCTAATAGCGGGTTCAATACTCCTTCATGGAATATTCCTCTTCCATTTTCCTTCTCCCTCCCCCTCCTTAGGCTCTCAGTAGAGATCCCTTAAGCACCACCTAAATGATGGGTAAAAAAGGGTAATTTTCAACATGGGAAACATCATAGGCAGAAATAGGCAGCTGCAACAATTATAGCAAGGACGAAATTACACATCCATAATTAACTTCTTCTAGAGCAACCATTCATATAAAATTGGGTAATAACAACAACTCATACTTGTTTTTTTACCTCTATCGTGTCCATTAACGTGTCAAATGAAGCATAACAACACATCAAAATATGCAGAACTATGTCTTCCATGCGTTCTTCTTAACATCAAATGAAGAACAGGAACGATAAGCATACATTGGCATAACCTAAAAAATGTTTATGGTTTGTCAGGTGAAATAAAGGGCAAACTATTTCAAATATTACAAGTCCATTTATTTTTGAAGTCCATTTCCTTTATTCATAACTCTGAAGACGTGTATGTTCATGCGACAACACTCTTGGGAATCAATTTATATTTCTTATCCCTGCTTTTTCAACTACTTTTAGTGGGGATGTATATTTTCCTCCTTTTGTTATAAATTCATAATCGTTGAGCATCATTAAAAAGGAACCTTTCTATCAAAAGATGTATTGCAAAAGGAGCAATATGTCACTGCTCAAGATATACAGCGTAGTGTCAGAATTAAAGGGCAAATGGTATTCAGTGGCTTCCGGACCATGTCCATCACTAACTTAAATTCACATGATCCAGTGAAAGTTGCAGCATATGTCACCCACCTTCACGACACCAGAATCCCTTGGATCAAAAGACTTGCTTCTGGATTCACTTTTTCAAATCACTCAACAAACAGCCAAACACAAGGGACTATACTTACCATATCATTGAGAACAGCATCAACTTTCCACGTCAATGAGACCCAAATGCATTGGCAGAGAAGACTTGCAGCTGGTTTTGAAAATACTCAACTAAGAATTACACATATTTAGTTACAAATAAGAAAGCAAAACACCAACTTTTCATGGAAAACAATTGACATAAGCTTGAGAGGATGTACTGAAAGAGGGACCTGCCCTAGATAAGATATGCATGTGAGGATTTAGTACAAGTCATTCATGTGGCCT